ATCCAGATGTCGGAGATGAGTGTCGAAATCCGTGGAAAATATAGCTATGTCATCAATATAGGCTTTTGAAAATTGTTGAAATTCTTTCAGCGCGTTATTCATTACTCTCTGAAAAGTTGCTACTGCGTTCCTTAATCCAAAGGGTAGCACTTTAAACTGATATTGACCTCGATGAGTTTTGAACGATGTGTACTCTTTACTTTGTTCCTCCATGGGAATTGCCCAATATCCTTTCAGCAAATCTAAAGTTGTTATGACGTTGGCTCTTCCTATACTGTACATTAAATCAATTGCAAACGAACATTTCTTCGAATTGATAGTAAATCCAAGTGACTCTAGTTTGGTAAAAACTTTATCCAGATGTCGGAGATGAGTGTCGAAATCCGTGGAAAATATAGCTATGTCATCAATATAGGCTTTTGAAAATTGTTGAAATTCTTTCAGCGCGTTATTCATTACTCTCTGAAAAGTTGCTACTGCGTTCCTTAATCCAAAGGGTAGCACTTTAAACTGATATTGACCTCGATGAGTTTTGAACGATGTGTACTCTTTACTTTGTTCCTCCATGGGAATTGCCCAATATCCTTTCAGCAAATCTAAAGTTGTTATGACGTTGGCTCTTCCTATACTGTACATTAAATCAATGGCATTTTGCATAGGAAAGTCATCTGGCTTCGTTACTGCATTCAAAGCTCGATAATCTAACCACAATCTGATATCTCCATTTTTTTTTTTGCTTACACAAACTACTGGATGAGCTATTTCTGCATTACTTTCTTCTATTAGTCCCGATTTCAATAATTCTTCTACTTCTTCATCGACCTTGGGTTTTCAATGCTTCAGGAATCCTATAAATGTAAGGTTTTTCTTCCTCTCCATATTGGGTATTAATCTAATTTTATGAGCTTCAACTTTAGCTATTTTCAGCTTTCCGGTGAATAGTGCTCGGTGTTTGTTGATAAGAGCTATCAATTTTCTTCTCTGCTGCGGATTCAAATTTTCTAAATTCAGATTTGCATCTATTTTAAAATCTTCCAGGGGGGGTCGAGAGATCTTTTCCTGGTAAAGTTATAATTTCTCCAATTCTTCTTCATTTTCAAATATCACTCCAACTGCATTGACACTAGCTTGGAATTTTCTAATTTTATTTGCATGAACATGTTTGATCTTTCCATCAGGTAGTTTTACTTTATAGGAATGAGGTGGGCAATGATTCACGATTTCTCCTGGACCAGTCCATCGTGCATAGAGTTTGTTATTTGAATCTGGTATGAGTAAATAAACTTGTTCTCCGATTTTGAAATTTTTTGGTATTGATCTCCGATTAAAGTACTCAGCATATTTTTGTTGTTTATCACTTGCAATTAAATTGGCTTGTTCGGCTGCTTGTTCTAACCTTATTTTTAAAAGCTTGTAAGTAATCCACTGCCGATTCACTTAGATTAGGTGGTATAGGTATTTCTCCTGACCATGAAGACTTCAGTACTGCTAAAGGACCTCTTGGTTGTCTTCCATACATCAGCTGAAATGGTGAGACACCCGTGGTGCAGTTTGGTACTTCTCTGTATGCAAAGAGCAGGTATGGGATGTGCTTATCCCAATTCGAAGGATCAGTCCTGATGACATGATGTAACATTTGCTTGAAGGACTTGTTCCATCTTTCTACTAATCCATTTGAAGCACTGTAAGCAGGTGTAGAGAACCTAGGGTGAGAACCTAGTCTTTTCTGGAATTCTTTAGTTAATTTTGAAACGAAGTTACTTCCGTTGTCACTAGCTATTGTATTAGGGATTCCTGTTCTCATGAAAATCTCCAAAAGCGCGTCGCAAGTGGCTTTTGCTGTCAAGCTTCTCAGTGGAATGGCTTCTGGCCATCGGGAATGTTGATCTACCAGACATAACACATATTTATGTTTCCTAGCAGAGGGAGGTTCAATAGGTCCAATAATGTCGATGTTAACTGTTTCGAAAGGTAATCCTGGCCTTCTGACCGGTGTGATGGGAATCTTGTCAGATCGCTTTTCTGGACTTTTCAACTGACAATCTTTGCACGTTTTACAAAAGGTTTCAACATCTTGTGCTAATCCAGGCCAATAAAATGAATATCGTATTCGCTCCTTTGTTTTTCTTATCCCAAGATGTGCACCGAAAATGGAACTATGTGCTAATTCCAACACTTGTGCTCTTCTACTAAGTGGAAGCACTAACTGAAAAACATTCTGTCCTAATATTTTTTCTTGGTGATGTAAAAGATGATCAATAAATAAATAATTTCCTTTTTTTTCTATTGCTAGCTTCCATGCTTCTCTCAGCGAGGGACAGTTAACTTGCTCTTCGCGTAGGCGTTCAGCAGACGATAAGTCTGTGTTTACATAAACACTCGCCTTCTTCCCTTCCTCCTCTTCGTTTTTCTCCTCCATAAGCATTAGCGGGGGGGGAATCGACGCTGTCGTTTGACTGTGCATTGGCGAATAAAGTTTGTAAGTTTTCGCTTCCGTAATTATTTCTTTCTGCGTTTGGTTCTTCTGCCGCAGGATTAATCAACAGTTCGTATATTTCTGGAGTTATTAGGCAAGGCACATTTAGCTTATCAGTCACTGCAATTAATGTATCCACAAAATTAAATATATTGCTTCCATGATCTTTATGGTAAATAGGTACACGGCAAACTTTTGCTTCAATTGGTTGTCCGAAAGCAGGTGTTAGCAATATTTTACCTCCTTCTCTCTCCTCTAAATTTGGAATGAGCGATGAATGAATGTACGATCGTTATCTGCGTTCCAGAGTCTACGATAGCTTCGATTTTCTCAGAGTTAATAAAAATATCTACTTTTTGCAGTGGTTGAACGATGCGTTCTGCGAATTCGGATCGTAGATGGGATGAGTCTACTTTAGCTACGATGGCTTCTTCTTTTGATGTTCTGTTTGAATTTTTTTGAGTTTTGGAATCATCCTTTCCCTTCTTATTTACTGCAGTTTCGTTCTTTCTTCTTTTGTCTGGACAATCTCTCGCGATGTGTTGATAATTTCCACAAATATAACATTCTTTTCTTCTCGCGTGAGATCTTTCGTGTTTTGGATATTCTTTTCTCATGGGTGGTGGAATATATTTGTCTTGTGCACATGTTGTATCCAGGAATCTCGGTGATCGCTTAATTCCATTTCGAACTTCGTCGAAAGATTTTCCTTTGGCCGTGAAATAAATATCACATTCTGTAGCTAATTCTTGAGGCTTCAGCCATTTATTTCCTTGGCGTATTGCGACGTGTGCAGCTGTTTCTTCATCTAAAGCTTGGAATAATTTATCCAAAATAATTAACTCCTTGACTGTTTCGAAATCCTTTACTTCTCTTGACTTGCAGTAATAGTCCCATGTAGCTGTTAGTCTTGAAGTGAACTGGATATGCGTTTCGCCGGAAATAACGTTTAGTTTTTCTGAAGTTTTCTAAACAGGTTTGAGGAGTAGGTTGATATTCCTTCAGAACAAGAGTTTTCACTTTTTCGTAATTTTGCAGATCTTCCTCCTTTATATAAACAAGACATTTGAAGCTTTTTCTCCAATTAATTTCAATAATATTTCTGATTTGTATTCTTCAGGAACCTTCTTGTGCTTAAATGCTCTTTCGATAGAATCGAAAAATATATTCCATTCTTCTGCTCTCTTCGGTACTGGTATAGTCAGTGTTTCTACTCCTTTGATCAGCTTGTCCAGGGAAATTTCGGTTTCTCGTTCTGTGTTTTGGATTAAAGGTGTTGGACTTCTACTTCCTTCATTTTGAGTTGCTCGAATCTTCGCTAGTTCTATTTCGTGTTCTCTTTCTGTTCTTATTCTTTCTTCTTCCATTTGCATTCTTTCCATTTCTTCTTTTCTTTTTCTATTCTCCACTGTAGTAATCAGAATTTCTTTCACGAAATCAGCATCTTCGATGTATTCCTTGCTATTCTGGAGTTTGTGTTTCAGTTCTACCAGCTTCAAATCTGGGGATGCTTCTTCGCCAATTTCCAATAGAACTGTTACTAAATCCTCTTTCTTTGCGTTTTTGAACATTTTCTTCTATTTTCCTTTAGAATCAAGCCTTTCAAACTCTCGATTAAATAATTCTCACGTTTCTACTCTCTTTTGCAAATGAACACTTCTTTCGTTAGTTAGGCTTAACTTTACGCCTCTTCCGTTTTCAACGCTCTAAGCTTCTAACCTCTCTGGTTTTCTCGTAAGAGAGCGTGTTGTGATGACTTCGTGGTTTAATAAGGCACCATTTAGCAAGACGAAACAAACATTTATTAAATATATAATTCAAAGCATAATATAATAGTTACTCAGAGCAGTACGTCGCTCCTACCGCATAGTACAATCTACTACCTTCCTCTTCCGAGGCTAACATGCAACTCCTAATAAATACATTAACCCTTTTCGGAGAAGGGCTACCTGCGCCAAGTATGCTCTGTTGATCGCCAAACAGTCGCCAGATATCACAAAGACGTTCTCTCGAGGATGCACTAACCGCAATACACTACGAGACTCTTTCGGTGCACTCGATGACCCACTCGGCACTCGCTGCCCGGCTGTCAACTCGATCGACTCCGCACGGACTGAATGACTCGAGACACTCTATCTCGCACTACACGAGGCACTCCCATTCGCCCTCTCGACGAGGCACACTCTAACTGACTGCGGACCAGCAGGGTTTACATAGCTTTTGGCTTGTGTTCGAGAACATTCTGTGCTAAACTGGTAAGAATTCGTTCCAGAAAGTTCTCCATCCGTCCATGGCATATCGTCAATTTTGTCGCCAAATGGGCGATTTCTTGCGAAATGTGGCAACGCTTCCGTCCCTTGCCGTTTTATGGCAACCCTAAATCTGCTTTGCGGGGAAGCCATCATACCGCGCCTGTACATTTCGTAGCAATATGATTATTGTAATTTTTATATTGAATGAGTGCATGTGGATACTTTTTGCTTCATGTAATCAGAATTAAACTTTAAATTTTTATTATCCATAGACACAAATCCACCGCCTGCAGAAACTACTGGCATTTCAACACCTGAAGCATCAAATGCAGTTGTCGATTCATCAAATCCAACAGATGAACCAGCTACTGCTGAAACTAGTCCGGATGTGAGTGCAGTGGAAGAAACTTCTGGACCAGCTGCTACGGACGAAGCCACTTCGGATGCAGCAGCGACAAGCGAAGATGCAACAGAACCAGCTACAACAGGAGGTGAAGATGCTACAAGCGAAGGTGGCAGTGCAGAACCGGCTACGACAGGGGATGCAGGTGCAACAGATGACGGTTCAGCAGAACCGGCTACTACAGGGGATGCAGGTGCAACAGATGAAGGCTCAGCAGAACCGGCTACTACAGGGGATGCTGCTGAGACAGATGAAAATACAGCAGAACCGGCTACGACCGGGGAATAACTTCAAATACAGTTATTTCAAGAGGAGAAATATACCGCAGAGGAATCCATTTCCTCCCAAATCTTAATTCTTAATATTTAAAAAACTATCCGTAACCCATTTATTACAAAAGTATTAATTGCAAACCGAGGTGTATAAATTTAGCGTCGTTATTTCTCATTTAAAATGATCAAAATGTAGCAGCTATAGCTTCAAGAGCTCTAAGCAGCTGATATTAGACATAACACTGTATAAAATGAAAGGGAAAAATTCAAATAAATTCAGCTGCAAAGTGGATTGTGTAATTTATTACGTATTGTAACTACGAATATTAATTTATTCTTTTTCACAACGAAATTTCGAAGTTTGAAATAAATTTAAACGATTACTTGTAAAAGAAAAGATTGCCTGCCTTTGACACAGAATATTCTAACACGTGATGAAACTTTGTAAAGCTGAGATTATGTTGCTAAAAATAGCAAAAATATCGAATAGTACATATAAATAACGAAATATTATAACGATTATTTATTTCTTCAATCAAACAAATATATTTATCCACGGTAATAATAACGTGAATAGCGAAAGCCTAAGCAATCTTACCAACCACTAATTTTTACTTCTCTGTACGAAGTAAAAAGGAAATATTGTAATCGTCAAAAATTTCAGGTATCATATTTGAACAAAAATATCCATTTTGACCGCTGCCCAATGCAATTTAACAATGTTTTTGCGTGACATCTGTACGTAAGGGCAGAATAAAGGACTCTTTCTCCCAAAAAATATTATAAAACGGTTTTAAAATGAATTCTGAAGAGAATTTTTCGTGGTGTCTTTGCGTACGTACGTATCTCGCATAACTCAAAAACGAGTAGACTCAGCGTTGAAATATTGTATGTAGGACTGTTATAACATGTAGATGTGCACAGTTCGCAATCGGCCGCACCGAAAGTATACAAATATATGTATATCCACTCTGTTACTCGGCTCAGTGATTTCAGTTTCTTTATTCTTATATATTTGCAAATTGTACATTTTTTGCTTTAAAAATGATTGGATTATGTTGCTCTTATCTTCCTGTTAAGGTTTTTATGCCTTTAGTAAATCTGCATGCAATATTTGTAAAATTATTAACAAGTTGTTTAAGTGCCGCTAAGCCTAATTATTCCTGTGATGGCGGCCATGTTTGTTTACATTGAAACTTAGCAGAATAGTATATCTGTTACCAATCTAGAGAAAGTAAGCTTCGCAACAACGTCTTCTTTTAGTATTGTGAATTAAATCATGCTTAATCCATTCTGGAATTTATTCAATGAAATAAGTGTTTAAGATTTACTTCGTAAATTTAATATAGATATTTTGAGTTTTTATGTATTTTTGCCTTGTCGCAAAGTGAGAACTTAATTAATTGAATGAGAAATACTGAATCATCTTTGAAAAACTGTGTCTTCTTTTGTTTGTTTGATTTCTTTTATGCATCGTTTTAGATTTATTATAGTATTTGAATAAAACATATAGCATCGATTAGATAATTCTTCAGATGATGTAAATGTTGTGCATTCTGGAGTTATAAAATGAATGAAATGTAACGCTGTTAAGTGAACCTAGAGCCAGAGTGTCGCTATGGTAAACAAATATAGTGAATTTTAAAGAGTGCGTTTAGTATATTTATGTTTATGCGCTGTCGGCGAAGTAGCTTTAATTGAATCCAATAATTTTAAATGAAATGCAAGAAAAAAGGCGTATAATTTAATATTCCGTAAAAGGAAGTCATGTGGTGTACATATTAGATTTTTTGCTAAGCGAAGAGTGTTCGAAACTGCACTCTCTCTCTATCGCCAAATTTTTATTCATCCTTGCTTTTTATGAAAGATTGGGATGTTTCGATTCTTTTGAAATTCCATAATTCAGAAATACTGTCAAAAGTCTTTAATCCGGACGCCCATAATCCGGAATGATCTATAATCCGGACCTCAAAGCTACAAACTTTCTGCGCATGCGTAAACGCATGATGCGTTAACGCATGCGCATTATACGTTTACGCATGCGCGTTTAATATATAACGGACGGTATAAGCTAAGCTAAAATTATCTAATTATCTATTTCAGTTAATGTTGCAGATTGCGTTGTTTCTTAATCTTCTAATTGGATCCGGCTTATTATTTTTTGCAGACGGTTAGAGCAATTTTATAAAAAGTAAGCTTGAACTTTCGATTATGTCAAATAGAATTTCCGATTCTGGAGCTGCCAAAAGATCTACAAAGCGAAAGCATGTTTCGATGTCTATTAAACAAGTAGTGGAATTGCTGCAAAAAATGGGTAAAGGCATGAAGAAAGTGACAGCGAGGTGATTTGTTTCTCTAATCATTCCGAAATCTGTTTATCAATTTCACGCTGCGGGGGGGGGGGGGAGGAACGTCGCGGCGCGCAATGAACTGGAAGTTGATCTGTCAGTACTATCCTCATCTTCAGGTCAGATGTTTTTATTTTATACGGCTTATAATTCCTTACTAAATGTAGTGTTTCATCTCGATGTACTCTGATATGATTTAAATCAATTTCCTCGTCATGAATATACATAAAATAGTTTTCTGGTTGCAATTTTCTAATTTCGACTATGTATGCTTTATGCATGCGCGCGTTGAAAGAAATGTTTAATAAAGTAAACAAATAAATTTTAAGATTTTTTTTTTTTTTTTTTTTTTTTTTTTTTTTTTTTGTAAATTTTGATACCCTTTAGATCACAATTGCTCTTTATTTCATAAATTACGATTTCATATTTTTAATTGTATTATTTCTGCATGCCATCTTATCAGATTTAAACTGATGATCGATAATCCGGAATCGTCGAAGTCCCGACGAGTCCGGATTAAAGACTTTTGACTGTAGTAGTTCAGAAATAGTACGAAGAACTTTCCTTTCTTTGCATTAAATTGTTATATAATTTACTGTTAATTTGTTATGCCAAGAATATGTTCACTGTGTATGCTGTCTCTATTTTAAGGCATATGTAAAAATAAAACCTGAATTATTAGCATTTCTGTAGATCAGTTTAAGTAAGAGAGGACGGAAATTAATCAAGATGCATCCTTTTGTACCATATCTCATCAGAATGAATGTCCGGATGCTTTACTTAACTGCTTTTCTGTTTAAGTGCTTTTAAGTGTTACTTTCAGGTTTTTTCGCCCAAGATGATAACATATTTTATTTTGTGAAAAAATAAAGAGGCAATCTGGATGAGTTTAACTGATAGCAGTAGCAGAAAATGTAAAGATTCTTGGATAATTTTAATTTTGCCTTATCTCGGTTTTATTTAAGAAGAGGAAAAGTTGTGCAACAGCTAGCATTTTCAGTCACATGGTTTTACCGCAGAAGGACACTTTGTCAGTTTATTAGCATTTCCTTCGATGCGTTAATTCTTGTTAAGTAAATTTATTACCTTCTGAATTCAACTTTTGTTTTCGGAGAAACTGAATGTTTCTTCCTCTGTCTGCTTGTTTTCCTGGTGCGGTTCTCTACTGAAAAGAGCGAAGTCATTGCGTCAGCTAAATTTTTAGTTCTTTATGTTGCCTACGCATACTGAAATCAACGCTCATCACGAACTAAAGTCAACGCTCATAAAATACACGAAACTGCGCACACTGTTTAAAAAATTTTGATATGGACACCACATGATTTCCTTGTGGGGCCATTTAAATTATAGGCGTTTTTGCTGCACTTCATGTAAACTTATTTCCATGAATTATTCTGACTTAATTGACCGATCCCTCCCTAGGCAAGTCGAAAATGGCGACAAAAACTGCGAAATCTGAAATGAAATATTTCAGTTTTTGTCGTACGGGGTCAAACTTCTCAAAATTTCTTTTTTTCATAACTTGTATACAAGTTTTTTTTCATTCTTTCAGTAGAAATGTATTTAGTGTATCACTTGCTTTTTCTTATGTATTTGGGCCCACCAGCGGCCGAGCGGTAAAGTCCCTGAACACTGGTAGTTCGGTCCGAGGTTCGAATCCCGCGAACGGGCTGGTTGCATGCGTGTTTTCGTGGTTTTTCCCCATGTGTAACGTGTATACGAGCCAGTTCCCTTAGAAAGTCCTTCACGAAGACATCCCTTCCCTTAGGCAGATAGCCCTCGAGGCTTTGCCATAATCACACACACACACATTTCTTATGTACTTCACTTTTACAATATTGTTACGAAATGTACAGGCGCGGTAAGATGGCTTCCCCGCAAAGCAGTTTTAGGGTTGCCATAAAATGGCAAAGAAGAGTAGAGTTGCCACATTTGGCGAGAGATCGCCCCTTTGGCGACAAAATTGGCGATATACCATGGACGGTTGGAGAACCTTCTGGAACGAATTCTTACCGGTTTAGCCCAGAATGTTCCCGAACACAAGCAGAAAGCTATATAAACCCTGCTGGTCCGCAGTCAGTTAGTGTGTGTGCCTCGTCTAGAGTGCGAGTTAGTTCGTATCGAGTTGGTGTCTCGTCTAGCGAGTCAATCCCTGCGGAGTCGATCGAGTTGACAGCCGGGCAGCGAGTGCCGAGTGGGTCGTCGAGTGCACCGAAAGTGTCTCGTAATGTATCGCGGGTAGTGAATCGTCGAGAGCTGTGCTCTGTGTGTCGTCGAGTGCATCGCGAGTTATCGAGTGGAGAGTCTCGAGAGTACGTGGAGTTCCGAGAACGACGAAGCAGAGTCGGGAGCTCTACTCTGGTGCTTTGCAATGGTCCACCGTGATAGCCTGAAGGCTGTGTCGCTGATTGTTCCAGCGTGTTTATAGTAGTTCATCGACAACTGTAAAACGTGTTTTGGAGCTGTCCTGACAATACTGGCTAATAAAGTGTGTTTCGATACTTCATCAAGTGTCGTCGTTATTCATTCCAAATCTACGAACCCCGTACGAACGTGAAGGAAGAAAATAACGTAAAAACTGGTGTCAGGAAGAGAAAAACGTAGCAATATGTTTCAAGAAAATTATAGAATGCTTTCAAATATTTAAGCGGCTTTTATTAAGTCATGAATTGAACACTAATTTAAATATACATACACGTTTGATACAGCCAATTGAAAAAAAAGGGGGAATGCATAACTAGAATTTATAGCAGTCCCATATGCAAAATTTCACCATTTTTGAGTTAATTGAATGTTAAATTAATTGAATAATGCTTACATACGTATGTGCGTACGTATGAACGTCACCAAAAATTTTCTTCTGAATTCATTTTAAATCTATTTCAGAATGTGATTTGGGAAAAAGGGTCCTATATTCTGGGCGTCGGTACATAAAACTAGTAAA